AGTTAAAGGGAGATGTTTCTATGTGACCCCAACAACATATAAGTTATATTCGACCCCACTTCTTAGCCACTCGATCTGAATAGAACGGCTACAATTGCTCATACCAAAATGTCACGTCAAACACTATTCTATTTTTCATTTTTTTCTAAAAAGCTTTTTTTTTTAAGAAATTTTGGGCGCCCCATCAGAAAAATAGGGCAAACCTGAAACAAATAAAACCAAAATATTTTATGTAAAAACAAAAGACCAAAATGCCCTTGAAATTTTCAGGGGTATTCTAGTAATTTGTCACCTCCGGAAATATTTTTATCATGTGCGCTCTTGTTAGATCTATGCATGCCCCTAATTTTGCTTCAAAATTATTTGTACAGTAAAAATAAAAAATAAAACACTATGAGTCGTTTGATCAAGATTGGACGGTTAAGTGCTAGCGTGTGACATTGCGACTCAAGCCATCTCAGCCATCTACTTAGAGCTGATGGCTGACGCTAGGTCACATATACTATATATGTGGGTGGGTCAGAAAGCCATCCCTAAGTTAAATACTCATACATGTTAGCATTTAATAAATATAATAAATATTTTTGGACACTAATTACCTTTGCCCCATGATGTAATAACTTTTTGTATAGAGGTATTTTAAAAAATTATTCAAGGGTAAAGTAGAAATTTATGATAAAAAGAACATTTATTAAATATGGTGGAAGATGACATCATCCACAATGAGTGTTAAATGCCACTAAATTCTTATAGAAATATCTATCCTAACCCTCCTAATGAAGAAAAAATACCCTCGTTCAAAAACAAAATTGTACTACAAGGCAAGCGTAATTAGTGTCCTAAATTGTTGAGTACATTTATTAAATACTACATGTATGAGTACCCCAACATTACCTTATATATATATAAAAAAATGTCTACAGGCCATTTACTTTTTGTACAAGATGATCACAATTAATCTCAACCGTTGGATGTGAAATTGGGTGTTAGTATTTATTCCATTGACCAAACTCAATATTCAAAAGAATTATTTTCGGACTATGTGACACATCCAAGCTATTAGATTTCACGTCAGATGGTCACAAGTAATTGTGACCTCCTTGTAACAGTTGTATACAGTCCCATAT